TCTTGACTTTTCATTTCTCCGTGGGTTTCTTATATAATGTCGGTCCCTTTCCACCGTTTTGTATTCTCTTCATCTCGTTAATCGCACGAAATTGAGACACGCTGCCGATTGCAACGTATCTCCCGAACGGGTCGTTTATTTCGCAAAATGCATACTGTCTCGTTGACAAAAGTAAGCCGCATCATTCGCCGCGTGCATTTCGAACGCGTCCGCTCTCGTAAAACATTTTACGCGCTTTCGCGCGGACAGACACGCGTTATGATTATGAAAGGTACGATTGCGTAATCGCGGCTTAAGCGGATCGCTTTCCGTAATCGAGACGTTGCGGTCGATACCCGGAGGACTTCCACGGTCGGCTGAAGACTATTTCCCTCGCGAGTCGACCCGATCGAACGGACACACCGCAAACAATCGCCGCCGGTTCTCAGGAGCGGAACGAAAGCAAACCTTCCAGCACAGGTACAATGTACCCTCGACGAGCCTTATACCGGGATAATTAGAAGAGAATTGCTTTGTCATTTTCGACGTGCAATAGGGCACTTAACAAGCTCGTTCGCAATCTGCGCGCGGTCTGTGGCCCCTGTGTATTCGGAATTTAATTAGAATCGAATAGCGTTTCTCCCCCACGAAGAGAGACTCCCCTCATTCCGCGGTGTAATTGGCACCCTCACACCAAGGAATAACGTAACTTTTTTTTCCACTTCCGTGTTTCCCGAGGAGAATTCCGAGAGCTCAGGCTGTTGAAATTGCTACAAAATATTTAGGCTGGGAACAGTACGGGATAACAAATTTTCATTCTGGGGGAGTTGATTTTCTTTTTCGTGGGATTCACAGGTTTTTAGCACACAAAGTAAAGGATAATGATAAAATAACGATAAAGAAATAATGTATTATAGAGGAGAGCCCTCTATTACGAGAGATAGAATTCTGGTGTGAGACAGTAAGGTTTTCATCGTTCAAATTCAATCACAGATCTTCTTTCTCAACAATTACACGATCTAACAATCAATTTTCCACTAAACAGATCTCACTCCGAGGGCACTAAATTCACGATGGAACCAACGGATGACGTCTATTAATTTAGCAGAAACTCCGCTATCTCGTAAAGGGGACTTTCCTCTATGCGTATAAATGTAAAGGATAAAAGGGGATAGGAATGTGAGGACTCTCTGTTCAAAGTCGCGGAGTGAGATAGTAATATTAAAATAAAATGACGAACGTGAATGACTGCCGCGTGGCTACCTCTTTCGCGCCACTATTCTTTCGTTACACAACACGAGGCGTATATTTATATAGTTACTCGGTGCATGTTCTTACCGTACTTGGGTATTTGGCTATCACCGTGTGCTATCCGGACAGTGCGCAAATAATACCGTTACAGGAACGCGACGTCCTGCACAGGCATATCGTGTACACCTGGTGTCGTTGCCTCCCGACGCCAATCGCGTGAGGTGTTTTAACGAGCGAACTTCTGCCTGCAAATTTCTTTCGCGTGGCCGTTCTTGCGTAAGACGTTCCCGAGATCTGATATCGACTCGTTGATGTTAGCCGCGCATTAGCAACCCGATACCGTTATAAATAACGTTCGTCGCTTTCGTGAACGTTAACACAATGCGGTCAATTACAACGCCTCTAGCTGCAACAACGATACCCACACAATGACCAAAAAAAAAAAAATAGGAGGCGAGAGAAAGAGAGATCTCGTAGAGCGGAGTATCGCGGCTATTATTCGCGCGACTGATCGGAACGAGTGGGAGAATTTATCGTAGTCCAAGACTGAAAAACTCACGCGGGGAGCTCGCAACAATCGGATCGTTTGTTTTGAAAAGTGCGTATGAGTCAGTACAATTGAATTTCATAACAGGGAGACAAAGAGATATGCGCGGAGAATAAATGATACTCCATACCTGCGTTTTATCTATTAGCTCCATATTCGTCAAGTTAATATCTTTTTTTCCAAGCATTGCACTATGTGCGCGCGTCACTATTTCTCCCCTGAAAAACGTATTTGACGCTTCAACGCGTCTTGTAATTTCCGGTAATTTGTCGTACGGAGGGGGGCACATTTTGCCCGACCGATCAATAAACATCGAATTAAATTGAATAATAATTTGCATTAAAACACGGCTTTCCGATTTCATTTTGTTAGTCAACAACCGCAACAAATACCGCTTTCGCAAATAGCAGTAAATATCAGTATCGACCGGTGCCGCCGCGTTATTAAGCGAGGATTTAAATCCCCAGGAACGTAGATTGCGCGGAAAGCAATCGCGGATTCACGGAAAGAGGAATATCGCATGCATTACGCGTAAGTATTATCAGCGCGCATATGTGCCGTTGTTTTGTCGGCGATTGTTCTGTCTCTCTGCGAGAAGCGGAATCGTTTGCCGCAGGATCGCAAATTATCATAACGACATTCCGAGGCTATCGGCAATGCCGTACGTTTGCCTCAACTAAACGCGATGACGGTTTTATTTTTCAATGACGATAAAAAAGCGCGCGACCTTTGATTTCAGGCCGACACAATTTTCATCGGCGGTACGCGCCATTTTAATCAACGTTACGGCACAAGAGATGCGCAACTTATATTATAAAATATTAATATCTTCTATCCGACGATATTTCATCCGACATTTTTCTCAGTGTAGTAATCTGTACCGAAATTTGTACACCACAATGCTCTCAGCGGTTTACCCCTCGGCCTTTTTTTCTTATTAAGCAAAGAGAGCTTGAAGAAAAATGATCAATAACGAGGGGGAGCTAATTTCGTTAATTTCTATCACATCGCATTATACGCATTTACGTGCGTAAATTTTTATCACCAACGATTTTAGATTATCATTACGTTACTTTAATCGGCTCGGGAGGAGATACACGAAGCACGGTTTTTTAATTGCGGCCATATTCCGCATTCCTTTCGCGGCTCGAAACGTGACGGCGACCACGAGAGGCGCGGGAAACCGTAACGAAATCGTGATCCGGCTTAATACAGGCCTCACGATTATTGCGGGAGACTGTCGCATCGTCCGTGGCCGCCGGGCATCGAAGTCATCGTCGAGCGCGACCCGCGGTAAGTACGTATTTTACGTGCAAATGGAAATGACGGGTTGCGCGCGCCGGACCTTATTTCTCTTCCCGACATCCGAGCGTTATTAGGTGAGAAAAGAGAAGGCGGGGAGGAGAGCCGAGGAAACGACGGGGCTACCGCGGGCTGTCGGGAGCCACGGACGATCCATTAGGCTCGTTAGGATTCAAATCCGCGGCCCGATACGAGGTTTTCCGTGCGGTTTCCGCTTGACGGGCGTGGCGTCTGTTCTCCATCCATATAGGCGGCCGCACGTCCCACATCTTCAACACGATCTGCGTTTTCTCTCGGCGCGGGGCCGCGAGTGTGCGATAATCGAGCTGCGAGCTCGCCTACGTGGTAACTGTACATTGTGGGTCATTGCTTGCGATAAGTGCCCTGAATGTCCGACATTTTTGCGAGATGTTAATGGGCCCGATCTTGGACACCGCGTGCGCGCGCGCGCGACACACACCGCGCGGAGATATGCTCTCTTTTATCGATTAGCCATACCTACCCGACACGTCGACATATCGTAGAGAAGCGGTTACGGGCGAAATTAAATTTGCATAAACGTCCCAGGCCGGCTCGACCCGCTCGCTCGCGCGGATTTATGCCCGTCTTCCGGGACGGAAATCGTGCGGCTGGAGGGCCGTTACTCTCCTAGAGGAGATTTACCTACTTTTCACGATTATGCACGATTTCACGCGGCGATCTCGATCGGCCTCCCCGTCGCCTATCCATCATCATCGATACGCGGAGTATCCCTCCCCTTTAACGCTTTCCCGTTAATGACACTTTGACGAATCGTACTTTTCCTCCGAACTCCGGCCAACGCGTGTAATTGCAAAGTTACTACCGGAAATTATACTCTCCCGCTGAGGCGAGCCGAAAGAATGCGAAACAGGCGGGGACGCCGCCTCGCAGCTCATTTCGGACGCACTTTCTTTCATTCCAAGGGCAATAATTCAACGCCGGCAATTGCAATGTTAGAGTAAACGATTGTAAATTATCGAGCTCTTCCGCTGCGAAATGAACCAACGAGAAATAAATAATCCACGTTATTAAATTCGTCGTAGCGGCTGTTACCGAGTCGAGCGACGGCGGTAAGATTTCGAGTGTTATTAACGGGCAGACTGACGTCTTCCGCCAAGACTCAAGTGCGGAATCTCCTCGATGCCGCGATCAAAGACCTCGACGCGTCGCGGCTACGGGCGGGAACGCACGGTCGCCCGGTCTCCCGTAGATCTTAAGAATGGCGTGGCGTTTTTGAGAAACGGCCCCGATAACGCACCTGGCGCAATAATGCGCGCCTTGATGAATGAAGTGTATTTCTGCCGCGGCCCGTGGGAGTGCTCCCGTTTCCCCGAGATAATCGCGGCTAGAAACTCGCCGATCCTGTTCGCGAGCCGAGCGAAACTCGGCGGCGAGCGATCGGCGCGCACGTGTACGCGACGCTCTTATCGATAACGCGCGAGCGGATTATCGGATGTGTGCGCGCGCGCGTAATCGACTTGCGGTTACTCCGAGTTAACTTGAGCGATAAAGCAATTAACGGGATCGCGGGACAGAGAGAGAGAGAGAGAGAGAGAGAGAAAGATTATCGATGCTCGCGGTTATCGTACGTCCGGGACGCGATTTGAGATGCGCGATCGCGATTTCCGCGAATCGTGCATAAATCGTGAAAGCTCGATGAACTGTCACGGCGATTACTCGATCGGCTACCGATCGATTTTATACGCGGCTGCCAATTGAATCCGTTCTCGATCGGCGAGAGATAAGAATTCCTTCCCTGCTCGTGCCATGATTACAGAACTCGCGGGTATAATTCGAAGATAGCAAATAGTAAACAAGATCGTTCGCCGTAACACGGTACCGCTGATATCGGCATGAACGTCGGTATGAATAATCCTCTCTCTTTTAAGTAGCTTCTTACCTTCGTACGAGATGTGACGAAAATCCTCGGTAGCACGAGCGACGGCGGCGAGGATCTGCAACGTCATCGTGTACACGGTCCACCGCTCCATCTTGGCCGCGTGCGGTTCCCGTGTCTGCAACACGAAACGTCGATTTTTTATTCTGACGCGTCCTTTATGGATCGTGTGGGAGTGGGGCTGGAATCGATTATCAGGCTTCTAATTGGGACGCGAGGCATCCCGAGTAGCGCTTACTACCGGGCTCGAGAAAGCCTGACTAATGACGGGATATTGGGAAAAGAGCAGAGTGGCTCGAGAAATAACCAGGAAAAGAAGAACAAAAATAAGAGAGAAAGAGAGAACAAGTCGAGAGAGAGAATGCTAGGCTCTTCATATTCGTCCATTTCCTTGACATTTGCATGTCCGTGTTAGGTCGCGTCCAACGAAACGACCTTGGCTGTTTTCTACGTGCAGGCGGGCACGCCTGCAGTTAATTACGCGCAGATAAACCGTACGGTTATCGGCGGCGCAATTAAGATCGATTAGGCCGTCTCTGACAAGTAATCTGCGACGGACGATTCCACCAACGACCGTTTCGATGATCCTCCTAGCAGCATGGCTAGGCGCGATTCACGTGTGTCACGTAATGTCCACCAATTAAGTCGCCGACGGCTCACCCAGTCGGTCCGGAAGGAGCCTCGAGATCATTTTCGCTGTCCCGCTAGTCGTTAATGCGAATCGTGTCGCGGCGATTAAGCTGCGGCGTGCTGTGATTTAAGTAACTGGTTCGATGAGTTAATAAAGTCGTATTAATTCGAGACACTAAGTTAGCTGCACGGGGGAAATTTAAATGCGACAATGTGAGAAAGTTGTGCGAGAATTTCTGATCGTGTACGTGACGTACGATTATTTGCCCCACGGATTTATTTCATGTCAATTGATAGAATAAGGTGACCAAGTTCGGATCAGATACCAAATGCGGATCAACAATTCGACGAGTCGCTGATAAGCGGCATAAAAACACATCGATGCTTTTTATGATATCGACAATAATATAAAAGAGCGAGCAAATTTAAGCGAATTACTTTTAAAATGCCGCTTATTAGCGACTCATTAAATTGCTGATCCGCATTTGGTATCTGATCCGAATTTGGTCACCTTACCCTAATAGATATTAATAGCTCTCTCTCTTTCTCTCTCTCCCTCCCCTCTTTCTACATTTGTACGCAAAAGATAATAACAATGAACTTTCTTAATTAAAACTTTTTCTTCTTGTTGCAATTCTTTTTTTTTATTGTTTCTTTCAACGAAAGAGCCTGAGATTGATCGACGACACAAGCGTTTCGTACCGAGACGAAGAGCGTAGCCCGCCACGTCCAATTATCGCTCGACTATTTGAAAGACAGTTAAGTTAGTGTGCCAGTCGTAGAATCGGCCTCTTACGACGCAGTATCGTTAAGTCGAATAATTACCGGATCGCCTTGAGAGCGGACAAAAATCGCGACTGGACCGGACACGCTGGCCGGGATCCCCGGAGAGGCTTTACATCTCGCCAGCGCTACCGCCCTACTCGATGGACGGTAATTAATTATGCGACCCGAAGCACTCGGATCAACAACGACGCTTCTGTCCTGTCAATTAACGTCCACCTTTGTTACTCGCTCCAGTCCGCTCGCAAAAAACTGTCGTGACTATCTGGCAAACGAACGTGTACTCCATCAAATATACTGCGGCATCACGCTTTCTTTGTGCACAAAGGCACCGTAAAAAAGGAACCAGCGGAATTATGTCAACGGATGAAACATCATGGCAATAATTTATTGTATTAGAACTGTATCCACTTGCATTATTTTGACAAATGTATGACAGAGATAAAGGCCGACATTTTCTCTCGTGAAATTATTTCCCGACCATCTCGCCTCGCAACAAAAACGTGGCCCAGCGGATCTACGCCGAAAGTAAACCGCGGTGAATTACCGCGAGGCGAACCCATTGAAAAGAGAACAATAATTAACCCTGAAACTTCTAAGGCGATTGTATTTGTCCCGTTCCGCGACGACGATCGCGCAAAAACGGTCTCGGATTACGTGACAATTCGGCCGATCTCTCTCCTCTTACGCTTATTTTATACAACGGTCAGCCGCGATTATCGCGTCCCCAATTCGCTTCAGGCCTGGCGGCGACGAGGGCGAAAAAAAAGGTGGCAGGCGGGGTATCCGTACGCGCGCATTCACACCCCGGCAGCGATCGCGACGACCTTAATGCACGCGAGGCTCCCGAGGAATGCAGATGCGCGTACGCGCCGCATCTCCCGCGAGATGATTTATTCGTCTTGGCGTTGTGAGATCCGCCTGTGACCCGGGAGAATAATGTATGGCGAAATCACGGTGTTATACGTCACGCATCGATATTCATAAATGTCATAGCCGGGCCGTGTGAGTCTGACAGATTGACCTTACGTCTTGCCTCTTGTGACGTTATACTCGCTCGTGGCGACTTAGAGGATTAGAGGCGAGGCTGCTTACACAGCAACGACGGAATTTTAGATTCACTTAAAATAAAGAAGAAAAAATTCTGTACCTTTATTTACTTAAGTATCACCAGTCTATTTATTACTAATGCTATGTCAAATAAAGCGATAGGTTGAGCGATATTGATAGACAGTCAAGGGAATTATATATTTGTTTTCGTGATAACGAATCGGTTTAGAGTGATTGAACGATAGCTCATATCGAAGACGCAGATTTAGCGGTTCTCGCAAATCGAATCAACGTTCAATCGTTACAGACGACGACGACGACGACGACGATGGTTTATACGTTATCAAAAGTGCATCTGTGGATTTATGTACATGCACGTCAATGATGGATGGATCAACGAAATATCTGAAGGGGATGTCGTTATTATCCAAGAGCGCCTACATGACGAATAAGAAATATCTAGCTAATTAACTTGATAAATGTATGTAGCATGTGTACATGCGGTAATTTGTTAGGCTGTGCACTCAGCGTTTCAGATGCTAATGTCAAGTGGAGAGCTCGCGCTCTTCTGGATTTGTCTATCTCGCCAAGTTTGCGAATTGACACGCGCTACGAAGCGAACCTGTATACCAGTATTTATATATCGTATACTTATGATCGATGGTGTCCGTGTAGTAGACTGCAATTGTTTCTCTCTCACCTTTCCTGAGAAAAGAATGTCTTTTGCCCGTGAGAAAATTTACTCGTTTAGAGTGGATTAATAATTTTTCTCTCCTGCTTCTTTCACTTCCCAATACAAATTAAGTTAAACTGCATTTTGTTTTGTTTGCACCGTTTCTAGTTTTAAAAAGTTGAAATGAAATATTAATAATTGAATTTTTCAACGTTGCCTACGAAGCAGTAACGAGTTCGAAATTTTATCACTTCAAATTTATCACTTCTTCGGATCCCTATCTATGCAACGGGCATCGCTACTCATTCGCGGAACTATACCGCGCGTTAATCCGCGAAGGAAGATTAGAGCGATCACTATATTCTTTGTTATGGCAATCTAATCGCGGCTTCATTTCACTATCGCCGCGCCATAATCATGCCTCTATCGTCTGTTTGCGGGCTCACGTGTCGATGTTTATGAATCCACGACTATCCACCGTATTCCCCGTATCTTACGAACACGTCGTGCCCGAGCTTAAACTCATCCGTTATTTCGCTTGCATCCGTGGGCCTCTATCGCGCTCGGATCTCGGGTGCGAGTAGCAAAATACACGTATCTATCCGTCCGCGTTTCTATTCGTTCCTATCTAAGAAATGCGCGACGTTACTTTACTCGTCGCGGACCGTAGCAACGCGGACATTTATGACTGCGCCATTAGTCTTTATACTCGGCGTCCCGCGACGTGCCGAGATCTATCGCTATTTTGTGCCCGGACCCGCGTCCCGCTCGACTGCGCCTATCTATCCGCGGCGACCTATTTATATGTATGTATATCCTAAAGAGAGGAGAGGAGAGAGAGAGAGAGGGAGAGAGAGATTGTATAAACCGTAGCTTATTTTATTCCGACGCGAAGACGCGTCTCACTCCGCGTTTACCACGAGGTAAACTCGTAAAACTTTAACTCGTGAGTCGCGCGCGTGTGGACCACACAGAGCGGTACGGCGCGATCCGAAAGTCAGGATGTACCACGGGGCAACACAATGGACGATCGGTATAAAGCATTTCGATGGAATGGAGCGTGTAAGGGAGTTAGAACGGGTGTCCCCATCGCGCACGGTTTATCACCATTTTACACGCGGTCCGAATTTTGTGGGGGCCTTTGACGAATTTTCTTTTTTCACCGACCTTCAAAGGCTCTCGCTCGTTGCTCGGTTTAACGAACTTTATAGAGGAACAGCTTCTACTCTGCAGGGAAAATAGACAGCAGTCCATTTTGGAGCCCACAATTAGTAATCGAATTAGTTGGGTTGCTCGTAACTCCAATCTTTTACAAATTTTACCAATTAGCTGTATCCAAGATTTTTAAGTAATACTAGTCAGTTCTCTCAATTAGTTCTGTCGATATTCAGTAACGCAAAGATAATTTTCACTTAAGAGGCACTAACCGAAATGTTAAGTTGCTTAACTACAAAAAAAGAAACTGTCAATTAATTACGAACAATCCAAATAATTCGATTACTAATTGCGGGCCCCAAAATGGGTTGCTGTCTTTTTTTTCCGAGAGTAGGTGTACTTTCTCACGCGCACTTCAATTTCGATCGGCGATTTCACCGTGATTTTCATTTATCGCTGTAAAACAGAGCCTGTCGCGTTCTTCACCGTGGATATTTTTCTTGACGAAGAATAGACGCGATACGTCATAACCATATAGTTCGTTCAGTCACACGCCCCCCCAGGTAGATAACGGCGTAATCATTTATGTAAATGGCGAAGTGATACTTTCGCATACAATATTTTAAGGATTAACGATTGTCTCCATAAAAGACCGGTCCCGGTAAGAGACCGTAACATATTTTCGCGCGCCAAGGAGCGTGGATATACTAAATCGATATTCGGGCAGGAACCGGTATATCGCAGCGTGATATGACTGCTGGCTAAATCGATATTACACTCGCATATTGTACGATGAAAAGAGCGCCACGGTACGTTTCGTATATTGA